ATATATATTTTCAATCATCACTGTGAATTCTTCTTACATGCAAATTAAATAAAATGTACAACTTGAAAATGTTACAACGGTAGACATTTTTCCCAAAGCAAAGCTTCTAATAAAAGGCAAATACGGACACCACAAAATTAAAAAAAAAGAGAAGGAAGGCGTAAGAAACCGAACGGCAGGCGCTATTGACAGGACAGCTTGAGCAGGGAAGATTGGGATTCCAGTGAAGATTTCTCCCGCTGCTGGCAAAGCGAGAAAGAACGGATGGTTATGAACAGATGTCTCCAGCCAACTCCCTCGAGAAGATTCACTCTAACCTGAGAAGCTCCACATCAAAGAGGAGAGTAGCGTTGGGAGGGATGACCCCAGGGTGGCCTGTGGCTCCGTAGGCCATCTCAGGTGTGCAGGTCAGCTTTGCTCTTTGTCCTAAACTCATCTGGGTTTTGGATGTTGGAGAAAGAAAAAGAGAAGACAAAAAACTGGTATTAGGAGGAAACCAAAGAACAAATCACTACGTGGCAGATCTACAGAATCGAGGAGCGTTGGGACCATCGGAGTCATCTTTCAGCTTCAAGCTGAAGCTGCCACAGACAGCTCAGATGAAGGTCTCCTGACTCCTCTGGCTTCTCACAGCAGTTACTTAAATTGCCAGAGCCAGCCTGATATTCATACACAGGGTTTTTAATGCAGACTTTGGTCCATAGTGCCTACGCTGGAGCCAGCTGTAGGAGGTGTGAGTTCCTTCTGCGGCGCGCAGGGTACATGTAACACCATCAGCAGGTGTTAGGAAAAGGCTCTCAGTAACAGATAGGAGCGGAGCTTTGTATTCGTGAGAGATCAGTGCTGAAATGCAGTTAAATTCAGCTCCTGAAAAGCGTTCAGCAACAGTTTTCCTTCTTTGGCCACCACCAGGGACAACTTAAGAACCATTGCTCAAATGCTAACGCTGGAGGCACCCAACTTTCTGCTGCTGGGCAGATGCAAAGCAAACACTGATGCAACCCTACTTAAAAGAGGTGCGTACTTCCCTAAACTCAGCCCAAACCCGAGGGCAGATGTCTCACCATGGGTGCTGCTTATTCCAGCAGAGAGCCCTGGCCCCTGGGGTGGACAGAAATGCTGATCTCCCTCACTCCAGGTGAGGTCTGGAGGTAACAGTGCTCATCGAGAGTTGGGGTGACAAGAATCAAATCCCTGCTCTTCCAACAGAGTATTTTGGGGTGGAGCATTTCCCAAACTGCTATTCAGGCACCATGCGCTGGTGATTGAATATTCATTCATAGGCCAAGAAACAATCCCTGATTTGAAGCCGTGATTTTTAACTCGGACCTCTCTCCCCAGATCAAGCACATCACCGGACTACAGATTACGTGGTATCTCCTGTTGATTTTTTTTTCAGGTCCTATAAAATATGCCAAAGCTAGAGCTTTGATCACTTTAGGTAGAAGAAAAAGGTGGATATGAACTTTCCCACATTCCGGGAGTATTCGTATCGTGGGGCTGAGGGTGTGAGAGCAGATGACCTCCCCTGGTCCTTGCAGGGGTTTGCGTGGGGCGGGCTGGCGGCTGCTCTGACGGGTCCCTGCAAGCAGGCAGCTGGTAAGTCACGCGCGGGTTTTAGGCGCGGGGCAACCTTGAACTGTCAGAAGCTGAGCAGAGAAATGCAGACGCTGCTGACATCTGACAGTCATTAAACCAAGGTCTGAAAAATCTGCATGCTAGACGCAACGAACTGCCTTTTTCCAAGTGCTTTGTGTCAGTCACAACCCTCAGACCCCTCAAAACCCTGGGGTGGAAGGGGAGAGCCGCAAGCTCCACTTCAGTCAGAGACCCACCAGGAGGAGCAGGAGGGCAGCGCGCTGCCACACTGACGACCGCAATGGCTCTCGGCCGCTTGTTAATTAAGGGCCAGTGCTCAGGGAGCGAGAGCGGTCAAGGAAGGGATAAACTGATTCACCAGCGCTCGTCGCCACTGCTTTATCTGCACTGGCTTCTGGTTTCTACAGCACACCGGGGTCCTGAGCTCCACTTAGGCCTTATTGCAAAGCAAATAATAGACTCCAACTCAAATCCTTGAGAGGACGGTGCGTGTTTTCAGAGTGTCTAGGATTCCTCAGATGGACTTCTCCTTCTCTGGCTGGAGAGAAGGGAATGCTTGCCTCGCTTTCTCCATAGGGCTGGAAAACATTTTCTCTTCCATCCCTCTGCGGAAAAGCATGGTTGCATCATTCCTCTATTTAAGCATACGAACTTCTTCCTGTTACAGTTGTTCCTATAATATTTGAGCAGTTTCTTCCTACCCTGAGCTCTATGACCCCGAAACGGAGAGTCACGAGGAATTTGCACCCTGATCTCATTCACTCTTGCACCTGAGCAGCCTGATCGCACTCCTCTCGTAGCGGGCCCTCACACTGCTGCAGACAAAAAGCAGGAGCTGGCAATGAATTGCATCGTGTGGCGCTCAGGGTTTTACTGTGTTGGCACTCAAACTGTAATTAATGGAGGGCAGTTTCCTTTTTCTCAGCATAGGGTTGGTCAGTGAATGTTAAGTTTCGTAGCTGGGAGCCTGAAGTCATAAAAATTTAACAGTGCAGTCTGGTACCTTACTCAGTAAGGGTCAAAATCTGTAGCTTGGTCATGGATGTCGTCAAAAACGGCAGCTGGGACTTTTATGGAGTAGCTGAAGAGAGGCCACTCCATAAAACGCTGCCACCTGGAACATTTTAGAGGCCACTGTTGTCTAGTTGTGGAGCTGCCCATCAGAAAAAGATGGGGCTTATGTGGCACATTGGCACCCAGGGAGGGGACCCCACCTCTCCCCTCCCAAACGCATACCACGCGGAAAGCCTCATGAGTAGGGGATGTCCCTGGATGGATGGAGGAGAACTACAGGAAATACTGTGCTCGAATTTGCGACCGCGTGCAACCACGCTTTCAGGAAACCAATCTGTATCCTACACTGTGATTTCCACTTGGTCTTGTCCCCGTTGCACCAGACGTTGCTGTGCTCACACACCCTTCAGCCGGCTTGAAGTTCAGCCAGAATCATTTCTTTGTACCTGTGTAACACCTTCTTCAAATCCTTTAATGACTTCTTGCCTGCCAATCTTGAACCTGAAAGGCTTGTTTCTGTCTCTGGAGGAATCAAACTTCTTTCCATTCTGTAGCATCCCTGCCAAAACAAGACACACAGTCTCAATCTGAGCTACATCTAAATTTAAGTGCTGCAGGGGGAGGGAAGGAGTGAAAAATTAATGTCTTGGTCACATCAGCTGCTCATTTCTATTTTCACTTTGAAGCCTCATCCAAAACGGGTAAGGCAGGAGAGTCAAACGCAGTGGTACCGTATTGTTACCTTTGCCTTCTAGTAATTTAGGCTCTAAAATGGAAATACATTCTTCTTATTATTCTTAATGCAATAGGTTATAACTCATATCGTACCAAACGTTGCACAGACACACCAAAGAGCTGTTGCTCGCGCAGTGGAGCTTCCCGGCTAAGTAGATAAAAGCAGGCAAAGAACAAGTGGGAAGCAGCAGAAGAGAGACTCCCAACGCAGGTGCCTGATCCAGGCCTGCTCCTAAGCACAAAAAAACCTCCCTAAAACAAGCCTACAGACAAAGAAACCAAACTTAACATATATTTGACCAGGCTTACTTCTCGTTAAATAGTTACCATTTACTTTAAGGCACTCTTTTACCAGTGTAACTAACTAAAGGGAATAGTCCTTGCGGAGTACAGGTGGGGTAATGAGGGGGCTGTTGCTATGTGTGGCCCAAAGCTCACCACACTCAACAGGAGCTTTCCACCCCCTTCAAAGGGTGGCGATTCAGGTTTGGGAACTCTTGAGCCAAATTTGCTGCCAGTCAACGTCTGCCAAGTACAGAGCAGCTCCTTTGACTTGTTCCTGCAAATTTATATCAGAATACCTTGAAGGAATATTTGGTACCTTGGACTGTTTACCTTCCCTACTTGATTTACGCAGGAGTAGTAAAATAATGTGCATTGCACAACGTGGCCATTCCACACCATGCATGTGAAACTGCTACACAACGTTACAACTGCGTGTGTCTCCTCTTCGTACAGAAAGAACCGAAAAGACTCTGCATTCAAAAATATGAAAATAGCAGGGATATTTATATGAATGCTCTTCTACCCTCATTCCTTATATTTTCATTCAGCCACAAGAGACAGTCCCAGGAACACCTTACTCGTTCCTTTTCATAATCACAACACTGTTTCAAGCCATACATTATGAACACATGCCCAGATTCTACAGCAAATGGATAAACCTTCACAGAGCACTACGTGATTACATATTCTCATTCTCTTTTCAAACAGTGGATAATTATGGTAGCTTTCAATTTAAAAGAACCTGGTAATTGCTCTTTCAAAATGCTACACTCTGGATATTGCAAGGTTGGGCTGATATTTATGTATTAGAAGAAAGGCTTCCTTTGTTATGCTGTAGTGCCAGTGTTCCGGGCATATACCATGACTCTCCTGTGCAAGGTACTGTATAAAGAAAAAGTTCATTAATAAGCAAATATCCGAGAAAGTTCCTGGTTGAAAACAACATTATCAAGCACAGCTTTGGCAGAAAATGCTGAGAAATACTGCCATTATGATCCAATATGAAAAATACAGTCGTACTAGGTTTTTTTCATTAAAGCAGTTATATTAATAGACCAGCTTGATGCACAAGTTTTATTTTTCAGTGAAAACCGTTATTGTCCAAACAACAAAAAAAGGCATATTTTGCTTGCTTAAAAAGTCTGTGCTATGAATCAAAGGTAAATATAAAGAGATGTGTCAGAATGAAAAACAAAGACGAAAAGGGTCTTACCAACCATTATGCTTCTAAGATGTAGCCAGCTACTTTTGAGCTAATTACTCTGCTTCCCTCTATAATCAAGTCAGAGAAAAATGCACTTTCAGGGGGCAATTCATCTAACCAAATCTAGGTATCTACATTAGGACATAATGAATTGCATCCTAGCAATGCCCATTTCTTTGCAATGAATATACGGGAAGTCCAAACAACTAGCTCAGACATGGATGTCTCCAAATTCATTAGTAGTTAAATCAGTGGTGATGGCATTCTGGACTTGCAGTGGTGAGTACACAGTATTTGATCGTTCCAGTGAGGTTCTGTGTCTAGATATTTTACATCAATACTAAAACCAAATGCCATATTAAGGCAAATTAGCTGTTGACCAAGTCCAACATTTGTCAAAGTTGGTACTTCAGAGATGCGTGTGCGTGTGTATAAGGCCTGAGGAGGAAAACTATGGGATAACCTGCCCATAAGGTATGTTTCCTAACCTTCACCATTAGCGCTTGTCATACTCCTTACATTTTTCACAGTATAATAGGACCAAGTCCAACATTTGTCAAAGTTGGTACTTCAGAGATGCATTTTTCACAGTATAACACTGAAGTATTTTATGTACGCTCTCATGCAAGTATGTACACATATTATGCAATATATCGGCTCAGTGATATCCCCAAATTCCCTCCACGCAGGCTGGGAAGTCGCACCAGCACATATTATGCAATATATCGGCTCAGTGATATCCCCAAATGCCCTCCACGCAGGCTGGGAAGTCGCACCAGCACAAGGCCTTCTAGTTACAGCCAAACATGGGTGCATTTGTAATGTAGAAAACCAGCCTGCATATGGAGGAGGGCAGGCAGGGAGAAGCAGCTCGGGGGAAACTCTCAGGCATATCATATAATCCTTTTTGAAGTATTTGATCTTAAATTTAAATGGCAGTCCTTCCTCACAGCAATTTTATTTTTAAACACATCATAAAACCTTATGATTCTATGAAATGGAAGGAGAGTATTACAGAATCCCAATATTTAATAATTTTAATATTAAAACTTAGTACTGTCATTACAGTCTGCATGTTCAAAGCAGCATGCAAACATTAATTATTCTTCACAGCAGCCCAAGGAGGTAGAAGAAGATATTTATTATAAAACAGCCTCAGTCTGGAAGTTCAGATTCAAATGCAAAGTTCCGTAACCTTTAGTATGCTTTCACTTCATTTTGTAACTACATCCTATTAAAATTCTTAGCTTAAAGGTCTGATGATTTACTAAATACCACACATCAAACCAGCGGCAGAACCAGAACTAACTCTCCAGAGATACTAACAACAGCTACTGGACAATGTTTCCCATTTAAAATAACATTTCTATCTGCCCATGAGCTTGCTAGTCTAATATATATCATATAAAAACTGACTCCCATTTCACCATCAAAAGCCTATGGAAGACATGTTAAGTCTTGTAGAAGAAAACAGCCTTCTCCTACATTTACAGCAACATTCTACTCTCAGCAATGGCTGAAAATCCATCAGGTGATGAATTCAGAAATGTAACCTTCTCTGTCATCACCCCACCTTACTCGTTTTGGACGACAAACTGGGATTCAAAGAGTCAGATGTGTCCATATTCACCGGAGCTCTGGCAGGAGGATCAATTTTTATATGACTGCCCTTTAAATGCACATCTAGTTTAGAAATGAGTCAGAGTCCCCATGTGCCCTGCAGAAGTTCCGATCCAGATTTAGATCTGAACTTTAGATCTTTTTTATCTCTCTATTTCTGAAAGAGTGGACTATTCAGGCTCCTGGGAGCTAAAACAGCATAATGTTTTATTTTCTCTCTTGCTAATGCATCAATTGATTTTCTTTTCATAAAAAAATTGATTTGGTTAATATTCTTCAGCAAGGACGGATGCCCATCTTCAGCCTGCTAGCATCTTTATTTATCTAGCTAACAACAAGGAGAAAAAAACCCCCACAATCTGGAACTGAACAACAACATTATTTTGTGAAGTCAGAACAATCAGTAAGAGTTTTGACCGAGCAAGGACAACTAGATGCCTATATGCTTACTTGTTATAATAACCTTACATTTGATTCTGAAAGGTAACAATCATTGTATTAAAATAATTGTACAAACTCAGTTTTCAGAATATTGTGCGGATTTGAAAACATTCTGATCTACAAGGTGTCCTAATTAATAACTAGGTTTTAAAAATTAGGCAGCTGTAGAAAAGGAGATGTTTCAGATCATGCGCCCTGCTGATTTTTTAGTTCAGCTCATCGAAGCTGAAGAGCAAAGTGTTGACAAATCATTTTGTAAAGGAACATGACTAGGGATCCATCTAAACGGCCAATAATACAATGCCATTTGGGCTAAAAGAGCAGCGAAAACAAAACCTCAGTCTAGGTTTAACACAAGCTATTATTTCTTATTAAAACATAGGTGTGTCTGCACTACTCTTTTAACATGAATTAACTAACTGAGGTCAGTCAACCTCAGCTAAGATCACATCATTTAAGTCTGTTTCCTAAAGGGAGAGGGCTAATGACACTGTCTGTACTTGCCTAATAACTTTTGAATCTTGTAGCCAATTTCAACCAAGTTTGACAGAGCAGTAGGGTTCATACTGACATAAAGATCCCATGCAGTAATGAAAAGAAATCTGCGTCAGAAGATCCTGTAAGTGCCTCTACCAGGAGAAAGACTCAATCTTTATTTGTTATCAGAGAACCTATATTATTGAGGAGAGGTCAGCAACAGGAAGACATGAATGCTGCAGCTGGACCGCAGTCTTAAGTTTCTTTTTACCAGAGGGTTCCTTCATCTGAGAATGATTCAGCTGGGAATTCAACCAACCACATAACACAAATCCAGAGCCAGCCCAGCTATTTAAACACCTAACTTACACCTATGGTCCCAACAAAACCATGGCCCAAACCATGCCCAAAACATTATCTATACAAAAGAAGGATGGAGAGAGAACACCAAAGGCCCTCCATAGATAGCCTGTCAAGCTTACGTGCCTGAATCTGGAAAATCTATGTGTAAAATTCCACTGCTAACATTAGCCATGTCAAAGGTAGAAACTGTGTCAACCTGTCATCTAGGCTACTTCTACAGTTAATGGCGAGAGAGAGGTATCTCCAAGAACTATTCATCTCACCTCGATTTAGATGTCAGGACTGCAATAACCTCCTGGAATTGTTTATCATTCTCAGTCAACTAACTTAGAAAAGTTTAAAAAGTTAACAATATTCATTTTAAATGCTAGACTGCCAGCTTTTTATAGGGCCCTAGTGAGGAGGTATTAACCTTCTATTAACTCATCCATCCATA